TACAAATGTGAATTTATAGTTTAATAAAACTATATCCTATCTTCGATTAAGTGCATCCCTACTTACCTGTTTCTCGCTTTCGGCCTTCTTCAAAGACAGTTCGAGATCCTGCGCATGCTTCTTGTGCTCAGCGATCTCTTGTTCATACTGCAAAATTATATAGGTTTGAAAAATAAAATGTAACGAATAACCACTCCCAGTTCTTTAACATGCCTTCTTTTTCAGCCGGGTGAGATCGTTGTTTCGGTCCTCCATATCGGCGAGGCGATCCTGAACCATTTTTTAAAAGATCTATTTCTCACATTTATTGTTATGATTCCTTGCGGGATTTTTTAATCTATGCACCTGAACTTCAGCAAGTTGCTTGTCGAGGTCTGCTTTCAAAGCAGCCAGCTTCTGATTGCGTTCTTCGGCGTCTTGCAAGTTGGCCTTTTCCTTTTCCAAGTTCAGGAACAGTTGATTCTTCTCTTCCACCAGTCCGGCCACCTTTAGTAATGCTTGCAGTCTTAAGCCTTTTAAAACCTATGGTTGGAGAATTTGAAAATTTACCTGCGATTCCAGCTGTTTCCTGTTTTCGTCACCTTTGGCTACGGCCTCTTCCAGAGATTTGATCTTTTCTGATAGTTTCTCCATCTCTTCGTGTTCCTTTCCAGCCTTGAGCAGAGGCTTGACCTAAACGTAGATGTGATTGAGCATCTCATGTCAACTTCTTTAATCTTAGTTTTACTAAAACAAACTTTTCCATAGAGTTTGAACCATTCCCAAGTACGCAGAGTGCACCACGAGCGAACATTGCGTTGGATAATGAGTAATCCAGCTTGTTGTTGCGTTCTTCTCTTGAGATCGACCAGGCCGAGGTACCATCTGGAGGTGAAGACTCAGTTTCGTCAAATAGCAAATCAAGTGTTCTCCGTACTATACGCCATGAAGGTCAAAGGGAAGTTGCTCACCTGACACGGCTTTGGAAGTTGGTCATGATTACTTTTAGAATCTCGTCACGTCTGTCTTCAAGCCTGGCGAGGATACCAGCTTTGAAGAACACCTAGAGATT